CTGGACCTTTCCTTGGCTTTCAATTCAGTGTGAACCTTAGCCAACTACTCTCTGTTGACTCTTCTTTTGATCTGAAGAGCCAGCTTTGGACTTTCTTTTTTCTCTGTCTGGCCTTTTGACTGGGCCAATGAAGAACTCTTTCCACTTTCCTTCAAATCCCTTTGGTACTGGGTGTACCTTCGCTGGATCTTCCTCCTTTGAGACCTAGAAATTACTGGAACCATATCTGGTTCCTTTGTCTTTGGGTCTTTGAGTAATACCCAATTATTTAGAGCCACCAATGGAGGTTTAATCATTCTGCCCTTGTCTCCAAAAACATTTCTCTGGGTATGTATTTCTTTAGGCTTATTCTGCATGACAAACCAGTCTGGAACCCCAGGTACCCATGAACTCACTAGTTCAGTTGCTGAACTTGTTTTCCCAATCTTTGAAGCCACCTTCAAAGCTAACTTTTGGGGCCAACCACTAGCTCTAGTACCCTATCTCGAGCCTAATTCAGGCTTTCTTTAAGGATAATTTCCTTGCATCTTGTTCAAAGTTGACTTTGGAGGCCAATCGCTGGCTCTGTTTTCCTGACTTTAGCCTAATTCAAGCCTTCTCTCAGGATAATTGACTTCCATCCTGTAGTAATTGGGTGGTCTAAACTCATGTAGAGGTCTCTTACCCTTGGATTGTATTCTAGTGGCTGATGACCCAGCCAAAAATGGCTGCTGTGTAGGACCAATTAGGTATGGCCCTCCGTTGTAGGTGTTGGTTGGCTTAGGGCGTCTCTGTACATCCTTGTAATGCTGTTTCTCATCGATTAAGAGCCCTCTCAACCATTTGTAATTTAACCTGCACCTGGGACACATCCTTTGCATGACAGGTGCCTCAAGAGAGTCATCATCCAATGCTTCCTCACTAGAGTAATCCTTTTGGTCTACAAAGCTCTGTCCATTTGCTGGTGCACTTCTAGTATCCTTCTTCAAAGCAATCTGGCTAGCAACATTGGCTGCAGCCTCCCCAATCTCTGGAAATGGATTGGTGTCAATTCCCATAACTTTCTCTGCCTTGATTGGAAACTTTAGCCTCCCTTTTCGAATATGTTCTTGGATCCTGTCCCCAAAAACAATACAGATTTTAGTTGAATGAGACCAAGAATTGTGCCATTTACAATACATTTTTCCTTTAAGTTCTTTTGGGTAGGGATCTTAACTTCCTTTGGTAACTTTAGGAAATTTGCCGCAAGCAAATGGTCAAAAATGTCATCCACTTTTGTAAATCAAAAGAATACTTCCTATGAAGGTCTTTCTTTTTAAACTACTGGTCTATTGTATTGTCGTTTTGAATTAATGCCTCACATGTTATAGGTTCTTTTCCTATGATTTTTGCTCCATCGATTTCATAATTAGGGTCCCTATAATAGGTCTTATATGATGCATTACTTCGATCATGTTCTTCCTCAAATAAAGATTCATATCTAGACATCTTATAGGTTAATTCCACTTAGTCTCGAAACTTGTTGATTCGAACTTCTTTCGAAGCCTAAACTCTAAACCATTTTGAGTCAGTCTCACAAATTCAGGCTCTGGTAGAATGACCATACACTTGTTTCGTGCTCTTTTGAATCTGGCAATGAATTGAGCAGCCTTCTCATCAGGCCTTTGGCTCAGCCTTGCCAAATCTTCCATAGAAACCTCAAGCTCTGTTTAGAAGAATTGAGCATGAATTGCCTCTTTCATTTGCTGCCAAGTTTGGATAGAGCTAGGTTTAAGGTTAATATACCATGCAAAGGCTGTCCCCGTTAAAGAATTTGGAAAAAAAGTCTCAATTTCATATAATCATTATTGGTGAATTCACCACATTGGCCTATAAACCTGGCAATGTATTCTACTGTGGACTGGTTTCCATTCCCATAAAAGAGAGCAAAATCTGGTATTCTAAACCACTTTGGGTATTCATGTACCCTATCCACCCATTCTGGGTATGGCTTTCTATATACAAGAGTCTGAACCCCCCGAGCCATGGGTCCACACGTCTCCCTGACAATATCAGCAATTTGATCCCTAGGAACCATATTCCGCGCTTGTTGGACAACTACTGGAGGAACAACCACAGGGTTCGACGAAACTCCATGTGCTTGAGGACCTCTTGGTCCATAGAGAGGTATATTTAAGACTGGCTGTCATTGTGGTACTGGTTGCTGTTGAGGGTATGGTTGACCTCTCTAGGCTTGTCCTGCGAAAGGACCAGCGAAAGGTGTTACAAGAGGAGGAACAGGGGTTGTTTCTCTCCCAGTTGTAGGAAACCTTTCCAACCTCTTGGGTGTGAATTTCAACAGAGGGTTAGTGAACCCCCTTGTGTCAGGCATGGTTTCAAACATGGGATTTGGAACATTCTCATGCCATTTTCTTGTGTTGGCCCAGATCCACCAATTTGTATGGCTTCGCTGTTAGGTAATGGCATATTTTGATTTACCAAAGGCCTCAAAGGAGGCTCATACCATGACTAAGGTACAGGTGATGGTCTTTCATAATTTTGATTACTAGTTTGACCATTAGTATGTCCATTAATATGCATAGACTGTTTATCTCTAGCCAATCTTTGCTAAGAACATTTGAATTTTCTTCCATATGCCTTGTGACAGTTGGTTGATGGGAATTCATTCGATCCATAAAGGATGTTGCTCATCTTTCTATTATATACATCAACTGCTGTCCCATGGCATTTACTAAGCCTTCCCAAGGATTCATTGGCTGGGTAGACGGAACAGTGGATAGTCCAATTCCATGGCCTCGTTCAATATCCTAAACATGTGATGCATGTTCCGAGGTGCTGGTCTGTTCGACCTTAGGTTCTGATGAGATATATGCTTGCATAGGATGTATTATTACATTATCTTCTGGATTAGGTACTTCTACCTCTCCTTCGACACCTTCTTCCAAGAGTTCATTTCCTTCTTGTCTCCTACGTCTAGCCATTTTAGAGTCCCACTGGGCGTGCCAAAAATATATGTTGGCTTTTTTGGCTTTCAAAAGTTAATTATGTAAATTTAAGCGTTCCAGTCAGGATCAATTAGTCCTTACAGAATTTATAATTGCTAACCAATTATTAAGCGATTGTATTGAAGTTCTTTCAGCCTCAATGAAGAGGACATTTACTGGTGGCTTGTTTAGGAGAAAATTATAATAGTAACAAGTAAATATAATTCAGAAATCGAATTTCATTAAACAAATGAAAACTTACAATGAAATTACAATGAGCCAGCCTCGACGAGGTTCATAGCAACAAACTACTGAAAAACTACTCCTAGGAAATAAAGTGCAGTACAAAAAATGAAGTGCTGGAAATGTAAAACTGTAAAGAAAATGAAGTAAATAAAATGGTTTCTGGATCTGAGTCTGGGTCCTTTATTCTGTGCCCTTCCTTACTATTTATACTTCCTAGTGGTAACCATCGAAGTGGGCTTCCAACCGTCAAAGCGTCCTCCCATGATTGTTGAACATGTTCTCTCACAATATGTCCCACTACGCTACTCTTGTAGTTAGACTTCCCTCCTGATTTTGAATTTAAATTTATGAGTAACAGTTAGGCCACGTCATCTTATGTCTCTCGATTGTTCCAGAGCCACGCACATCCATTATTACCAATATGAACTGTCACGTGTCCGCCTTTGATTGGCAACTTATATTAACTCTCCAAATTGCTCTCCTCGTGCCACGTGTTAAGTTGTGATTGGCTTGTGCAAAATATGTAGCCAACAGATATTTACTGAAAAATTACTAATATTTTCTTTAAAAAAATTATTCACCTTTTAGAAATAAAAATGATAAAATGAAATGGTTACTACAATCAATTAATTTTTTAGAGATAAAAATTTGGAGACAAAAGCGCTTTTTAGTGACTAAATATTTTTGTTTTCAATAGCGTCATTATTAGCAACAAAATCTGGACATTAGTGATGTATTAATGTCTTTTTGGGATTAAAATTTTTGTCTCAAAAAATAAATCATTTTAAAACTAAATTATTTTATCCCATTTATTTATTAGCGATGTTTTCAAAATTTGGTAAGTAAAAACTTTATTTTTTACATTTCATAACGTTTTTTAAGAGATAATTTTTGCGATGACAAGAATTGATTCCTAAATATTTTTTGTAACAAAAAAATTTAGTTTTTAAATCTCTTATTTGTTATAGTGGGCGGTTATCTTATTAGATAGACCTTTTCTTTTATACATGATATATAAAGAGAGCATCATAAAATAAACTTTTCAAATTATTAAAACATAATCTATTATGGACTCACAGTCACAGGCCCAAACATAATGGTCACTGTTATTATATTCATCTAGATATGAGAAAAATAAAAATAAAAATAAAAAAAACAAAACCAAAAAAAAATCTATTTGGATTAGTCAGCAAGAGAATGTTAAATTCCTATAAAAAACAAATATCTGGCGGCTGAGGATTGTGATGCTTTGACAGTTCAATTGCCTAAATAATTAAGTTTAAAATGTTACTATTATCAACTTCTTATAAAAAAACAAATATCTGGCGGCTGAGGATTGTGATACTTTGACGGTTCAACTGCCCAAATAATTAAGTTTAAAATGTTACTATTATCAACTTTTTATAAAAAAACAAATATCTGGCGGCTGAGGATTGTGATGCTTTGACTGTTCAACTGCCCAAATAATTAAGTTTACAGCAATGATTTAGACCCTCTCAAACTTCAACCTCCACTACTTCCCACACATACATGGCAGGTGATGATTGGAGGAGGAGAAAAAAAAGAAAAAAAAAAAAGTGACCAATTAAAAAAAAAAGAAAATCAAAAAGGAATGGAAGAAAGGGATCCCAATCTTTATTCTTAAGTTTAAAATGTTACTATTATCAACTTCTTATAAAAAAAACAAATATCTGGCGGCCGAGGATTGTGATGCTTTGATTGTTTAACTGCCCAAATAATTAAGTTTAAAATGTTACTATTATCAACTTCTTATAAAAAAAACAAATATTTGGTGGCTGAGGATTGTGATACATTGACTGTTCAACTGCCCAAATAATTAAGTTTAAAATGTTACTATCATCAACTTCTTATAAAAAACAAATATCTGGCGGCTGAGCATTAAAAAACAAATCTTTTGTCATCTTCATTGCCAAAAAAAAACAAACCATACAATTGAGACAGAGATATGGAAGCAAAGCTAACAAGACTGGGAAGCTCACTCCTTGTACCCACTGTTCAAGAACTGGCCAAAGAATCACTCACCACGGTCCCACCGCGGTATGTTCACCATGATCATCAGAACCATCCAATCTCATCGTATGGTGCTCGTTGTCCCGATGATGTTCCGATCATCGACATGGACAAGTTGATTTCTGGAGATCACATGGATTTAGAATTGAAGAAGCTTAACTATGCATCCAAAGAGTGGGGTTTCTTCCAGGTATTTACATATATTTTCATTTTATTTTCAAATTCATGATGTTATGTTATGTAAATAAAAATTAAGAAATCAATTCTTATCCAAAAATAAAAATAAAAATAAAAAATCATTATTTGTGAACATCAACTTAACTAGGCAGAAAACAAATTTTTCCATATGGTAAATAATTGATTTTAACTGATTTCTACCCCAAAAAACCCATGTTTTAGTCTCTTAATTAAGCAGAAATATTATCACATGTGGATATAAAAAGGCTATAAACGTGTTTGGTATTGTTTATATTTATAATTTCTATTCATATTCATATAATTTTTAAAAGTTGCAAATAAGAATTCGGTTGGTTTCTATTTTTGTTCTCAAAAAGTTGTGCACACAAAAAAATTAGTTTCACTTTTTTGTTTAAATTTTTTTTTTTTATATATATATCTTCTTCTTTCCCCCACCCTTTTCCACCACCAACCATTACTCATCACTACCAAGCACCATCGGAAATAACCTCCTCCGCCAACCACCTCCAACCACCACTTCTCTCAACCGCCTACCATTGCCACAAACCACCTCCCAACAGTGGCAACCACCTCCAACCACTTTTTGTAGAAAACTACCTTCAACTACCACCTTAGGTGGCTAACCAGCTTCCATCTCTGACCACCGATAATCATTTTCGGCCACCATTTCCTATGGCCATCTGACCCAGCCTCGACGAGGTTCACAGCAACAAACTATTGAAAAACTACTCCTAGGAAATGAAGTGCAGTACAGGAAATGAAGTGCTGGAAGTGTAAAACTGTAAAGAAAATAAAGTAAATAAAATGGTTTCTGGATCTGAGTCTGGGTCCTTCATTCTGGGGCCTTCCTTGCTATTTATACTTCCCAGTGGTAACTATCGAAGTGGGCTTCCAACCGTCAAAGCGTCCTCCCATGATTGCTGAACATGCTCTCTCACAATCTATCCCACTACACCACTCTTGCAGTTAGACTTCCCTTCTGATTTTGGATTTAAATTTATGAGTAACCGTTAGACCACGTCATCTTATGTCTCTCGATTGTTCCAGAGCCACGCACATCCATTATTACCAATATGAACTGTCACGTGTCCGCCTTTGATTGGCAACTTATATTAACTCTCCAAATTGCTCTCCTCGTGCCACGTGTTAAGTTGTGATTGGCTTGTGCAAAATATGTAGCCAACAGATATTTATTGAAAAATTACTAGTATTTTCTTTAAAAAAATTATTCACTTTTTAGAAATAAAAATGATAAAATGAAATGGTTACTACAATCAATTAATTTTTTAGAGATAAAAATTTGGAGACAAAAGCGCTTTTTAGTGACTAAATATTTTTGTTTTCAATAGTGTCATTATTAGCAACGAAATCTTTTTGGGATTAAAATTTTTGTCTCAAAAAATAAATCATTTTAAGACTAAATTATTTTATCCCATTTATTTATTAGCGATGTTTTCAAAATTTGGTAAGTAAAGACTTTATTTTTTACATTTCATAACGATCTTTTAGAGATAATTTTTGCGATGACAAGAATTGATCCCTAAATATTTTTTGTAACAAAAAAATTTAATTTTTAAATCTCTTATTTGTTATAGTGGGCGGTTATCTTTATTAGATAGACCTTTTCTTTTATACATAATATATAAAGAGAGCATTATAAAATAAACTTTTCAAATTATTAAAACATAATCCATTATGGACTCACAGGCCCAAACATAATGGTCACTGTTATTATATTCATCTAGATATGAGAAAAATAAAAATAAAAAAAATAAAAAACAAAACCAAAACCAAAACCAAAAAAAATCTATTTGGATTAGTCGGCAAGAAAATGTTAAATTCCTATAAAAAAAAACAAATATTTGACGGCTGAGGATTGTGATACATTGACTGTTCAACTGCCCAAATAATTAAGTTTAAAATGTTACTATTATCAACTTCTATATTTCTATTGAATCTTTTGTATCTTTGTTAAATTTATTTATTTTGATAATTTATTTAATTATATTTTAATTTATTTGAAAAAGAAAAATAGAATCCAAAATTTGTTTTCATGATTTATTTAATTATGTTTTAAATTCAAAATTTATTTTGATGATTTATTTAATTATGTTTTAATTTATTTGAAAGAGAAAAATAGAATCAAAATTTATTTTGTCCCATTATTTCTCACCTAAACTTTTATCCTAAATATTGTTTGAATGTATTTAATATTTGCTTAAATCAAGAGTTCATTTCAACCCAAAAATAATGCCCAAACCAGAGGTTCAAACAACCCAAAACAAAGGTTCAACGTATTCATCAAAAGCAAATTTTTTCCCAACATCGAATGCGCTGGAAGCCTTCAGGTCGGCTGTTTCCTTCGCCGCCTTCATCTCTTCCGACCCAGCCTCCAATTTAGAGATCGCCTCAAAACACATGTAAGCACGTATGCGCCAAACAAAAATTATAACAAAAGATTGAAAATAAAGTTCTTTTTTATTCGACCAACCAATAAATACATAATTCTAGACGCGATCCGCGTTTGAACATTACAACGAATATTTTTATTCGGCGTCGCCCTCATCATCGCTCTTTTCAACTTCAAAGGCGGAAAAGGGTAAATGACCACGATGATCCAAGCCACATAAGTTGGAATCGACACCCTTTGCTCTAAGAGCCTCCGCGGCCTGAAGAGCCGCGATCTGGGTCGAAGCGGAGGCATTAACACATATTTGAGATGCTGATGTTAAGCGCTTTGTATTTTTTTAGGAACATTTGTTAGAGCCTCTGTGTCACCCAAAACATGATCAAGAAAAGAAAGCAAAAGTGTCTTCAACTGAAATGTGAGAAGAGCCATTATTGACTAAACCTTTTTTTTTTCTTCCTAATCACATCATTAGTTTAGTCATATTCTCAACCTTTCTTTGTCATATAATTTTAGTCTTACTTACCACAAATAAACATGATTATCACTTGGGCTCCACACTAATCATTTATTTGCAAGACAAAGCTTATATATCATATTTAATTAGAACTATATGTCTGCAAGTTCATGTGTGGTTTTCAACATTAAATTAAGATTTTTAAAATTAATTGTATGATCAAAACTGCACATTCTATATCTCTTTGCTTTAGAGCACCATTTGTGATGAGTCCAATTATTCTATGAAATTATTTATATAAAACAGACTAACTTTTCAATATTTTCCATCACAACATGGCCTAACTAGTTCCTGCATAT